TCATGTCGTTGATTTTAATCATTATTTAAATACAGTGCTTCTGGGATGTCGATATGACATTCCTTGGATATTAGTCACCAAAAACCCCATCGTCGTATTACAAATTAATACGAAAGATAATGGTAACCATAGGAAAAGTTTTAAATTGAGGGTGGCATAGTCATTTCGCTCCCAAAAATGAACCAATCTATATTTTTACATGAAACAAAAAACATAATACTTAGAAGACATGGTTGCAACCGAAAAACAAGGTTTTACGAAAATCCGCTAACGAAATTATTCTATAGGATATTTCAAAGTTAGGATAAAACCAAAGTCAAAACCAAAATTTTATTAAAAAATTCACTATACTAAATTAAAATTTATAAATTTTTACAGTGTGCTAAAAATCATCAAATTAGAGTTAAAAATAAAAAAACTGAAATACTTCGAATTTGATCAAAATTTTCCCCGTTGCGTTTTATTTTTGCATCTGAGTGTATATCATCATTCTCAGCATATTCTACCAATTATGGTGTAGCCTCCTTTACATATTCATTCTTCATTTCTGCCCACGATTGTCTAAAATTCGGTTTTTTGTGCCATGTTGTATCGGCTTGTTTCCTTATGTCATAGTCCCATCTTAAATTTGGACGTCTTTTTGGTCTCTTGACTCCTCTTGGATACCACAGTGTAATTCTAGTGGACCACCTATTGTTTGTTCTTTTCGTTAAATGTCCAGCCCACTACCGTTTTAAGGATTTAATTCTATGGATTACATCAGTAACATTGGGTTTCTGTCTGATCCATTCTATTTTTCTTTCGATCTCTCTTTGTTATACCTGGCATACATCGCTCCATTGACCTTTGAGTAACTTTGAGTTTCGATATTATCTCTTTCTTTAGTGTACGAGTTTCGCAGCCTTATGTCATGATTGATAGTATACACTGATCAAATGCTTTTTTCTTCAGGTGGATTGGCATCTTCGATTTGAATATAACTGAATTTCTACCAAAAGATGTCCAAGCTAGTTTCATTCTTTTGTTGATTTCTGGTAGTAAGGAGCCAGATTTATGTATTAATTGTCCCAAGTATACATACTCGTCTACTGTCTCAAGTGCAGTGTTGTTTATTATTACATCTTGGACATCCACTAGGTCGTTGTACATGGTTTTTGTTTTTGTCAAGTTCTTCATTTTTAGGCCAACTTCTTTGCTAGCTGCATTTAGGTCGCTTATAAGTTCTTGTAGTTGTGCAGGATTATTAGCAATCAGAAATCAGAAAGATCTTGGTTTGTGTGCTTACAAAATCCAACTCGTACAAGAATTGAAGCTACACTATCACCTATCTAGGCGTAGTTTCTGTGAATGGGCCCAAAACGAGACTGCCGTTGATTCTGATTTCATAAGCGAATTTTGGTTAGCGACAAAACTCACTTTTGGTTGAATGGTCATGTCAACAAACAAAACTGCCGTAATTGGAGTGAAGATAATCCTCAAGTATATTTTAAGACACCATTACATCCAGAAAAACTGACTGTTTTTTGTTCTTTGTGGACTGGTGGAATCATTGGTTCGTACTTCTTCAAAAACAAAGCTGGCCAGAACGTTACAGTTAATAGTGAGCGCTATAGAGCCATGATTATTGGTTATTATTCCTCATTTGAACAACTATGATGTGCTGGAGCTGTGGTTTCAACAAGATGGCGCAACATATCACCGACAGACTATTTTCTGTGACGAAAACGATTGACCTTGTGAAACATTGGTAGTACCGATACACAGCCACAAATGTTGGAAAGAGTCATCGAAAATAGGACCTTTAGATTAAACTACGTAATGACACGTATCTACGTAAAATGTGAAAGAAGTAGAAACAAAAAAAATACCAAATGGGAAACGAATAAATAAAGATAATATTCTGATGGCAGAGAATGATATACTCTCTCATTTCTGGAATAATAAAGATTTGTATTGTTTTTTACTTACTTATTCATATAAAAGATTATTAGCAACACCTGATTTATTTTACTTAAGTGTATTTATATCAAACAGGTTTAACTTTGGCTTTTATCGATTTATCGCCTTATTACTTAATATATATCTAATCAGCTGAAATCTCGACAAAATCCCAGGAAATTGTTATTTAAATGTCAATCAGCATTTTTATAAAAAAAATAATACTCCGCCCATGGTGTACTCATTTTGCTCGCCTTTGTGCTTCCTAGCCTGCCGTGTGTTTTGGAATCGATTCGATCGCCTGGTTTTGAAGTACACCGTTGTCGTGTATCAGAAACGGAGGTTGTTCTAGAGAAAATTGAAGTTTGTTTTTTAAAGTACGAGGGGACGTTTGAGAAATATTATTTTCCGGAGTCAAATTAAAATTATTCGAGTCATTACTGGTTATTTCTTGCTAAACTTTTTTTTTTATAAAATTCGTTCATTAATCCGTGTTTTAACCAGATAAAAAAATATTAGTCTTTTCTCTTCTCAGTTTTCCCAAAACAAGTCTAATTCGTACATTTTCCACAATTTGTAGCTATTAGAAAATGCGGGACGATCGAATATTTCGCGAAATTTATATTTGATCGAAAAACTGAAAAACCTGTATTCAATATTTTTAAAAAATCTATCGAATAGAAATCTTTGAAATCTTAATTACTATTTAACTGGGAATAAGCCACAATTAAAGGTTAAAGTAAGTTTATTGACGTTTCAATGTCCACTTCGGAAATCGTTCTCAAAATACAACCATTTGTTTGTATTTACAGTTATGTTAGAAGTGCAATTAAGATTTAATAGCTGCCTACGAAGCTCTAGCGTGGGTTCACCTATTTCAGCTTGTATGCTATTTATCAGAGGTGTTATGTAATGTATCCAAAGGTTTTAGTTTTAAAACTTAAAAACCTAATTTCTCAAAACTGTTTTTTTTGGACCCCCATTCTTTTAGCCCTGAGCTCTTTAACTGTTTGTGTAATATAAATAACTTCTAAATGCAAAAACAGGACAAAAAACAGCCAATTTAGTTTCATTCGTTAAAGATAATTATGCTAGATAAAAAGTATGTGTTTTGTAAGTGTTTTTTATGTGGCAGGTATTAATGATGCACGGGTATAGAACCTGGACTCAACTGCAACAAAAGGAATCATGTTTGTGACTAGTATTGTATCAATCGTTCATTTTACGAGAACCGAATCAATCAGTTACCGACTCCGAATACGATCGAATCATTTCAATCGTTCGTTCATTTGGATACTTTTCGTTGCCGTTTAAAAGAAATAACAAGTAACCGATTGAATGAGCTGAATCGACTGAAAACCGAGAGTATTGCTTACAGTATTTCGTATGTCTTTCACCTTCACCTAAATTATTGGAATATCACGTTTATTTTTATCACCTAAATATATATTTATTAACATTTAAGTTTGTACAGATTCTTAAGAAATTATTCGAGAATCTAGAATTTATTATGTTTTTGTTTTTATTTTCTTTAGTGTAACTCAAAAATAATTATAAATTTATATCGGAATATTATGTGCTGCATCCAAATATAAATATTTATTATCATTTAAACGTCTAGTCTCTAGCTTTGTTTGAAAGGCGTGTAAATAGATATTTTGTGCTTTTAACTACCTACTAACTATTAACAACACAAACGAAAGTAATAGCTGCAGTCCGATAGAGTATTTTCCAATTCCAATACTCCTGGTCTCTAGCTAAGTCCCTGCCTTGCACACAATTCTTAATTCAATATTTAGTATTTTAATTTTTCAGTCATTCAAACGAACGCATTCAGTGGATCGGTCTTCATTGTGAGTGGGGAACGACCGAGGATCGAAAGTAATGAGGGTATGGGCTGTGGGATTTTGTTTTGGTTCGGTCGGCGACGTGCAGTCGATATATCGATGTTTGTCACCGCACGCTCGGATCGTTATGCACTAGCGGGATTCGGTCGTTCAATACTTTGAAGTGATTGAATCAAAATGAACGAATCAATCTCAATTGATACAACACTATGTTTGACACTTTATACACCAGTGACTAAGTCAATATAGTATACGTCATTATACCAGAATAATATCCGAACAGCCTTTTATTTCCTAACTAATAATCTATGATACCCTATCATAAAAACACAAAACAATTAGTAATCTTAATTGATATGAGGTTGAATGCTCGAATAAATAAACTTTGAAAATTAAGGCAATTATCGAGAACAAGTTTAATCAAATCTTGTCCAAGTACTTTCGCTTAAAATAGCATCTTCAGGAGCATTTCGTCAAATATGGGCTATCCAGCAAGCGTGTAGAATGTGATAAACATGAGTAATAACATAAAATTGTACAAAAACACTACACTAAGTTTGTGCTTGTTTTAGTGTAGTTTCATTTTATTCGGATCTACTCTGTATGAGTACAAGAAACCAATTCGCTAAGGATTTCTGCTTAGTTGAGGAGACATGTCGTGGAATGCAAATTTTAGATTCCCCATGTCTCTTTTAACATCTTTATCAACGTCTGTTATACCTTGCAATCTTAGAAGGTTCAGATTAAAGCAGAAATCTGAATTGTGTTTCGAAACTATTTTACGGATCAACCCACGATATGTTTCAAGAGCCCCAATTATATTAAAAAAAAATTATCTTTAACGTCATCACACGCACATAGATGACGTGAGAAATAAAAAGTAATATGAGAGGATCTCCATTTAGAAATATAAATCGACGAGTTCTAGGATGTTTTTCCAAAATTTTTGGGTTTTGGAACAATGAATTATTATTTTCGTCATACTGTATATATTTGTGATATTCACCTCGTATCAAGGAGTCGTTTTATGAAGAGTCCGTCGGAAGTGCGGCAACACCGAGTTACTCCGAGCATTCGCAGCTATTCTGTCGTTGACGTCACGATTGCAAATGGCTGTCGTCTTTTGTAACTAGATAGACAATCTCTTCAAATAATATTAGTGGTGTGTTTAGTGTGCTTGTGCGTTTAATTTATTAATAAAATATAGAATAAAAAATGTATTCCGGATCTGGAGGCCGTAAGTAAATGTTCAAATTCTTACTCGATCGTCTTTTATTTAAAAGCGTTAGTGTTTTGTTTTCATAAACGAGGTCTACTGGGATTAAATTCTTTGTTTGGTTGTTTTTCCGTGTTTTTGCTGTCATTTCCTCGAAGTTTTCGTTAATAACCTTAGAAAATGCTTTAAGTACACGGTTTCGTAACGAAAATTACAAGGAAACGAGAGGAAATACCGTCAATTTAAAGTGCAACTTAACCTAGGAGCTCTTTAATATCGTGTTTGAAAATAAGGTCATTGAATTTTTCTAATTCGATTAGAAGTTAGCTGCTAGGTAAAATATCCGACGTAGTTTTCTTACTACTGCTCGTAAATTTGTTCTAGTATAATAATATATAACGGAAATAAGTTTGATAGAGTATTTATTTTTGGAAATTTAGTTAAAAACACATAAACACAATTGTTCTATATGATTTTAGTTATGAGTAAATCAGTTTATTTATGTTATGTTTCCTTTTTCTCAAGTGCGTTATTGCGTACAAGCTTAAATAACAATAAATATTGCTTAATCGAGGTTAGAATGATTTTTTAACTTCGATTTATTCGAAAACGTTTGATGTTATTTATTAATACTATTTATTAATAGAAAAAAATGTCAGTAATTTACTTATAAATATTTATATTGAACAACCTTTCTAAAAATCTACCTGCACTTTATTGATTTTCCACTTTAAGCGATGTTTAAATTTCTCGGCATTTAAATTGTGATTAGTAGTGAGTCATCGATAAATTTCCAGTATTTTGTTTTATGACTCTCCTTCAACACCTGAGTTGGTCGAGTTTTCGTACTTCCGAGGAAGTAAAAATCCATGACCAACAAGCATCTTAGGATCCAAGTGCATACAAGTTCATTGACCTCGGGCGCGTAGTCTATTGCAGGACCTATTGATTTAACTCTAGTTCCTGTTGCATTTTGCTATTATGTAATAAATCCTTCTTTTTGTCTGTTTATGAAGATTAGAAGCCCCCCAAAGGAACTGTCAAATAGTATTTAACCAGGGATTGGTACACCTTAAATTATAAAACTTGACTAGTGTACTGGGATATTTATTATATACCCCCGTATTTAATTATTATTTTATTATTAAGCATATACATGGTGACAATTTGAAAACTTTATGATTTGTTCAATTTTATGACAGTTTGTTGAAATCCAGTTTTCTTTTTTGCCCTTTTTCCTAGTGATTTTATTGCACTTTTTGTACCCAGCTTCCACCTTTTTTCTAAGCTTTCATTTTGTACTAGGTTCACTGTCATTTTTGTTCTATTCAAGTTTCTTCATTTAGTACTTGTCACAGCTTACTAATTTAGTTCTCAAGTAAAATTAACTGTGAAGCAATACCAAAATAAAACCCCCAATATACAAACAAAAAACAACTGTGTGATGCACTTGCCAGAAGAGCATTAGCTACAAAATATGTTGGCCAATAGCCGGCCTGAGAGTGCCAAAAAGCAATGTGTGTGACCAGAAAATAGTCTGGAGCCAAAGACAGCACAACTAACACTGGAAAAATATACCCAGTCAAACATATAGCAACATGTATATTGGGTGTTGGTTGGTTGCTGGTACATTCTAGGTACCAGGAATAATAGAAGAGATAGACTTGTACAATTCTGTATAGAAAACAATCTGTTAATAGCCAATACTTTCTTCAAACAACATCCTAGAAGGCTATACCCATGGAAATCACTTGCAGACAGAAGAGACAGAATTGTAGAAATCAAATTGACTTCATTTTGCTCAGTGACACCTTTAAGAACTACATACAATCTACGAAAACATACCCTGGAGCTGATATACATAGCGATCACAATCCAGTTATAATGATTTTAGATTAAAAAGATTTCTCAAAGTCAAAAAGAAAACAGTGACAAGAAACAGCGCTTGAAGATGAAATAAAAACGATCGAAAACTTCGAAGACTTGAGTGACTGACTCTAAAAACAAAAATAACAAAGATACAAGAAGAAGACATTGGGTTCATAAAACACAAAAAACAAGAATGGCTAACGCAGGAGATCACGGATCTCATGGACACAGGACGAAAACATAAACAAGCCCAATAGAATACAAGCAAATCAATAAAATCATTAGAAAAAAGTGCAGGGAGGCGAAAGAAAACTGGATGTCAACAAAATGCCTAGAAATCGAACAACTTCAGGAAAAATATGACACCTTTAATATTCATAAAAAAGTAAAAGAAATAATAGGTAGACACAAAAAGAGACAAGCAACAATATTAAAAAATGATAATAACGAAATAATTATGGGTACAGAAGACAAACTAGAGAGATGGAAAGAATACATACAAACTCTTTTTGACGACAATAGACCTTGTTCTCCACCATCCACAGATAATCGAATAAATAACCAAATCGAAATAACCAACCATTTGTAGCATTATCAAAAAAATCGAATTCCTCACAATGCGATGATTATCGAATATTAAGCTTGATGTCTCATATCCTAAAACTTTTCTCAGAATTAACCATACATGAATTTACAAGAAGTGTATGTTTTTTCTGTCTTGCTGTATGGCTGTGAAAGTTGAACAATGGACTCTGAAATAGAAAAAAGAATAGATGCCTTTGAGATGTATATATACAGACAAATGTTGAGGATTCCATGGGTAAAAAGAGTTACTAATGTTGAGGTACTTCGTCAAATGTGTAAACAAAAAGAATTACTAAGAATAATCAAAGAGAGGAAAACGCAATACTTGGGTCATGTTTTGAGAGGCGAAAGATATGAATTACTTCAAGTTATACTGGAAGGAAAAGTACAGGGCAAAAGATCAGTAGGAAGATGCCGAAACTCTTGGCTGAGAGATCTGAGAGGGTTCAACTGCTTATCCGCAGAATTCTTTCACACAGCAGTTTCCAAAACTTCGATTGCCATTTGGATTCGCCAACCTTTCGAAAGGAGACGGCGCCATGAGAAGAAGATATTGGATGAACATGTGTTAATAGGGCTGAAGTAATGTGGAGAACAAGCAGGAATCAGCTTAGACTCCTTACTGGATGTACAGGATGTCCTATTTTAAAAAATATATGTTTGCTGTGTCACATAGTTATTCATAGCTTTACCTTGTAGAATTCAGCATATTTTCTAAGCCTGGAGAATATGGTAACCTCATTGCCTACATTTTTTTTAAATATGTTTAAATACATTATACATATAAATAATAATGTTTCAACCATGTTATCTAGTAGTTTGTTAAAAAGCGCTTATTTTGAATGTGACTTCTGATGTGAAAGTAAATTTGTTTGGTATAATTATTTTATCTCATGAGTAGAATAAAGAAAAGCAACTAACCCTTGTAAAAGAATTCCCCAGTAGCCATTTAAATACCTCTATTAACTTTTTTTTAATGTATATGATTCTGTATGTTCAAATCGATGTTTTTAAGTTTTTAATCTCCAAACATTGACTTTTACGTGGTCATATTGCATAAATGTAACTTTTTCTCAGTTTGCATGTATGTTACATTTAATTTGACGTAAACCTATATGTTAGTTTGTGGTTTTAAAACAGAAAAACCAATAAAAAAGTTTTTCCTCAGAAGCTTGGCAGACCAGTCCTCCTAGACAGACAAGCCCTACCTCACAAACCACATTCGCGGAGTCATTGGCAGGTAAATTAAGTTTTTGTTTTTTGAGTTCTTTTTTGTAGACTTTGGTTTTGTAGTTTTTATTGGATTATTCGGAAGTCTTGTGTGGTTTGTAGTTTTTATATGTAATACAATGGATTGCCAACTAAATAGATGATAACATTTTTTATTTAACATGGTATTACAAGTGAATATCAACCCCAAAAAAATTATAGTTGTAATATCGTATTAACGGAGGAAAATACAATGTAATTATATCAATTTGTGTGACTGTTTTCAATTAAATAGTAGATATGAAAGTATTTACTTTGCTCATTGTGCAAACAACAGTTTTGAAAGCGTCAGTCTAAAATTTATTTTCATACGTATAGGGGGAACTTTTAACCCCCATAGAGCGCGTGTAGAGCGGTATTCTTCATCGGCGAAGAGAAATAGAAAATACATCACAGAAAATTTACAAAACACACATTTTAAAAACACAATTTACAGCGCGGTTTAAAGGAAGTTGGAAGCTGACATATAGCACATACTTACCCCACCAAACCTTCCGACGTGACTACGAACAGGTACGGTCCGTGTCGTGGTAATTTTACTATGGAGTGGTCCATATATAGAAATATAAATATGCTTTATTGCCACTGAAAATTGTACAATTTTATGGACAAAGCTTATAAAAAGTAAAAAAAAAAACAACAATAATAATTAAAATTCATTAAAATTCCATAAATCGTTAATATCACAAAATAAAAGATAGATAGAAAAATTCCATAATATCACAAAATAAAAGCGTGCAAGTACTAGCATTTGCAGATGATGTTGACATAATCGCAAGATCAAGAAGAGAAATGATAGAGGCATTCACTCAAATAGAACGAGCTGCAAAAAATAGTGGTCTTAAAATCAATCAGACAAAAACAAAATATATGCCTGCAAATAAAAAACACACAAATAAGGCAGCTGCCAAATTTAACAATAGGAGAATACAACATTGAGGCGGTAAAAAACTTTAAATACTTAGGATCCCTAGTTACGTCTGATAACAACGTTGCAGAGGAAGTGAAGAGGAGAATATTTATTGTCATAAATGTTACCATGGCTTAATTAGGCAACTAAGATCAGATAACGTCTCCAGAAAAACAAAATGCCAAATATACAAAACCTTAATAAGACCGGTACTCACATACGGTTCAGAAACCTGGACACTCTCTAAAAGGGAGGAAACGTTATTAGCCACCTTTGAAAGAAAAATCTTTGCGACACATATATAAGGGCACAAAAGAAAACGGGATTTGGCGGAGAAGGTATAACTTTGAACTATACAACATATACCAGGATCCGGATATCATAACATTCATTAAAATAGGAAGGCTACGTTGTATTGGGACATGTGGAAAGAATGGAAGAAGGCGAAATACCAAACAAAATATTCAATCAAGTGCCAGTAGGAAAAAGAACAAGAGGAAGACCGAAGCTGAGATATGTAGAACAATTAGAAAATGATATAACAACATTAAAAATTAAAAACTGGAAAAAAAAAGCACGAAACAGGTCAGAATGGAGAAGAATCCTTGAACAGGCCAAGACCCAAAAAGGGTTGTCGAGCCAGTGATGATGATGATGATAATATAGATTTTTTTACTAACTCAGTGGACTGAATTTGTACATCAAAACAATACCGTGGATTCAAATAGAAACGTTGGTAGAAGGAGAATTTGCTGGGTGAGGAACCTTTTAGAATGGTATAATTGCAGCTCAGTAGACCTTTGCACACTCCTTTGAACAGCTCTAAATAAAGCCATAATAGCAATAGCTATGATGGTAACCAACATCCGATAAGAGAAGGAACCCAAAGAAGAAGAGCATATTTATATGATAAGTAAAACGAAATTCACGGTCCCTCGTCCTGAAAGCAGCCCAATCCTCCGGCTGAAAATAGCAAAAATCACTGTAGGACTAGGCAAGGAAAGTCTTTACGCTGCCGGAAAATTTGGAAATCTTCAGGAGCCAAACACTTAAAATTGTCAATAATTATGGCTTATAAATTATGATGGCCTAGCTCAGGAACATGCAGACACGAAGACGATAAATTGCACTATTCTGAAAGCAGTAACAACAAGCCACAACAAAGAAACGGTATTGGAATTTGTGGAACGCAGGACCGCGAAAAAGGTCCTTAATTTGGTTCCAATAAACGACTTAATAATTTTCTTACAGAGAGAAGAGAAGGAAAAAATAGTTTGTTGGAAGAGGCGATATTTAAGAGAAATTGGAGGTTGCAAATGTTCTTCAGGCATACTGAAGCTACATGAGGGGATTCGCTCCGTGGGTCTCCGGATATAATATCCGGATACAATTTTTAGAATTAATTAGTTATCTATTTATAGTGACATTTATATTTCCACAAAAATATTTTTTGTCGTTAATAAAGATTTATTAACATAATCTACGAAAGTGAGGTTATATATACATGGTCAACCAATGATCAACATCCATGGTACAATGAATATGTTCATTGTACCATGCACAAAAGCGTCCTGATAAAATTTCAAGCAATCGCCACCATGAGCAGGTCAGTCGATTTTGCTTTGACACTTCGTTAACCCTCGGAGCGAATAAGGAATTTTTTGTTCCAGGTTTGTTAGAATTTATTTGAAACTCGACGAAATACTACCACGCAGAAATGATGTTCTCGAAGATCATTTTGATCAAATGATACATTTCTTACTGATTAATTTTGTCGTAGTTATGGACAACGCTAGTTACTACTCAAGATTAAAGGACTACTACTCTCATTTATTCTTAAATTATAACGAGTTCATTTTTCAATTTTCTATTGTTATGCCAATAGTTGTTTTAGTTATGTCGGTAAAGTTAACATATCCATTTTATAAGACCAAATTCAGATCAAGACTATAATTTTTTACAAAACAAAATGTTAATTTTACCTTACGATCTGTAAAAGTGACGTGGAACAGAAATTTGCCAAAATAACTGTAGATAACTGAAAGAAAGTTTGTGAACATGTTTGTGAAAGGTCGAAAATAAGTATTTGGAAAATGAATGTCGCATAGTTGTAATTACTGAAGAGTTAAGGTTTGATCTGTTGATTGACCTATTTTAAATTATATATTTTTTTGAACGCCACTGCTTCGTTATGTTGGATATTGCTGTTCCCTATTCCGATAAATTCTCGGAAAGTAATGAGTTTTCTCATTAATTCTGTATAAAAATAAAGGGTATCATTAAAATAGAATATTTTGAAAAGATAAAATATAGGGTTTTACATTTATAAAATATGCGAAAATCGTACAGGGTGTCCTATTTAAAGTCTTAGTTGCTTTACCAGATAGTTATCAATCATCCTTTAGAATTCGGCTTATTAACCAAGCCTGGAGAATATCATTATAAACCTACATTACCTACATTTTTTTAAAATATCTTTTTTGTAATATTCGATACCATAATGGAATTATCGATGAATGTCAAAACAAAAACTCACACTGTAAATAAAGTTGTATTGATTTGCAGTTTTATTTTTTGAACTTAATAATAATTATTAAAAAATAACACCGAAATATTTTGAGAGAACATATAGGTTTTCTTCCTATAGGTACATATTAAGTAAAAAAAGGATTTTTTACTTATTTATTCAAGTTATAAGAACAGATTTAAAAATTCCAGTAAATCAATAAAAATCCAGGTAGCCAAAATTATTCAAATTCTATCAGAAACAACTATATTTAAATATCTTTTACTTGGAATCCTGACTGATATCTTTCGTTGACCTTGTTAGAGGCGATTTGCAGATGGTGGCAGTGGCTCCCAAAGAATACTTAAATGTGGAGTTGGAATGCGCGGGAACAAGTTTATATCAGCTGAGTCATCTCGTCAGCCAGATATGACACTGCTTTGTTGGTCACGTATCAGATTCTTATAGTCTAGGAGCAAAGGGAGGTTCGTGGCAGATTGAGATCCATGAGATTTTACTGATTTGTATGCATTTTGACCCGCTGAATCCGAATCTTCAAGATGATATTTTAATTTTGAAAATTTTTGTAAAATTAATTTGTTATGAACAATTTAATTGTTTAAATGCGTATAACTAATAAACTAATAAGATACACCCTTTTTTCAAATCATGTTTTGCTTTTTTTAAAAACAAACCAAACTTTGAAAAATTAAAATCGCTCCTTAGAAGCCGGTATTGCAAATTTATTATTAAAAAATAACAAATGATGTTGGTGGAACTGTTTGAATATTAGTGTGCAGGATGTTTTTCAGATATGTGATTGTTTTTAAACGATTTCTGCAGGTGTTTTGTACAAAAGGGCTATTTATCGCTTCTTATTTGTTTAGATCACTTGTCATGTGTCATATAACATTAATATATTATAGTGAGGTTAAAGTATCGTGTTGTTGCAACACCGATTGAAGATGTCCTGCAGTAAATGTCCCCGACCCATGTGCGCCGACTGCAGGGCATATGTTTGCAAGAATTGCATTTAGAAAAATTTAATTAAAAATCCTTTGTAAAAGGTATATTTTAGGCCCAAACGGGCTAAGTTAAAAAGACAAAACGTTTTCGGAAACCATGTTCCATCATCAGTGTCTAGGAGTACATGAATGAAGCCACCAAGATTAAATATGTGGGTAAAAACCCGATTACATATGTTTAATTACATTTAGTTTTAAATTAATGTTTAAATGATATAAGATTACAGAGTTACCGATGGATTTGGTAACATACGCCATGTTACCAAATCCATCGGTAACTCTGTAATCTTATATCATTTAAACATTAATTAAAAACTAAATGTAATTAAACATATGTAATCGGGTTTTTACCCACATATTTAATCTTGGTGGCTTCATTCATGTACTCCTAGACACTGATGATGGAACATGGTTTCCGAAAACGTTTTGTCTTTTTAACTTAGCCCGTTTGGGCCTAAAATATACCTTTTACAAAGGATTTTTAATTAAATTTTTAATACATGGTATACAGCCAACTACAGGAACGTAGATTCCTTGTGGATTTAGAAAAATGTTACTTGTAAAGAAATCGCAGTTTTGTTGATAATAATATATTTTAAATAGAGAGTTTGTATATTTCAGTTCCTTGTTCTTTATATAAAACGAAAGAATCAAGAAAGAAATAGTGATTTTATTTTTTATCTCTTTTGTAAGAAATTATGTTCTGCTGTCAGAAAATCTTGAAAAATAAGTTATGGTACATTTTTTTAGCATTAGTCATTATTAATGAAAAATTAAATAGAAAATAGGATTAATGAATTATGTCTTTATAAATTTCACAAAAAACTCAAAAAAATGGGGTCTGGCAGGCCCCAGGACGCAGTTAACGGCAGAATAAACCACGACGCCAGTTGAGGGTTAAAATGCGGTGCTTTAAATCTTTTTCGGTTGAGCAAAAGCTAAGTTATAAGCAAAAATATCTAATATAGTCGGTAATTTGTTATTTTTTAGTTATTAATTAGCAATACTTAGGCTTGTTTACTAGGCTACTAAGTTTATTTGATTTCTTTAAACAAAAAATCATTTAAAAAAAGGGTATATTTTTATTAGTTATAAGCATTTAAACAATTAAATTGTTAATAACAAATTACTGTCCAAAAATTCGAATTATCATGAAGATTCGGATTCAGCGGGTCAAAATACATAAAAATCAGTTGTAATATCTCATGGACCTCAATCGGCCACGAAACCCCCGTTTCCCATAGAATAATATCTACGATTGATCCACTGAAGATGCAGGTGGGGCTGATAAGTGTTTTTTACTATAAGCTTGATTGATTTTGTACTGCGATACTTACTTATAACGTCTTGCTGCTATGGGAGTTTAAGCTAATATAGGAGGGGTTGCATTAGAACAGTGGCAAGAACGCACTACCTCAGGGGTGGCCAACCTTTTTAAGTCGAGTGCCAATATGAGAACAAAAAAAATTTGGCGTGCCACTAAAATTTTTCGACATACTAATATGGATACTATATATTAATAATATACGGTACAATATGTATTTCTTATGTAAATTCCACATTTTTCCGTTTAGTCAAGATAGTGGAGGTTTAAAAAATAACGTAATAAGTAAAACATAACAACAAACTTACTTTATTGTTAATAAAAATAAAATAAAAACGTTAAACAAAAAAACTTAAATATTTTCTTATTATCTAAAATTCAAATTATTAAACAGTTACTTATTTAATGTGGTATTTGAACTTGTATTTTTTTAATTAATTCATTATATTGGGATTAATTTCGGAACTAGCCAACAGAATTAGATTTTTTAAATGCATGTCAGTTAATCGTGACCGATATTTTGATTTTATTATGTTCATAATAGAGAACATTTGCTCACAAACGTACGTTGAACCAAATCTACAACAATATCTCAGAGCTAACTCTAGTGTAAATTAGGAAAATTGTTTGCTGGTAAAAATTTCCAAAATTCAATATAATTGGGATCAGTAGCAGTTGAAATAATTTCCCTATATTTGGTTTTTAGTATAGCGTGGTTCTGTAAATCAATAATTTCGATCTGTATTTCAGCTGAGTAACAATTGATATCTTGCAGAGAAATAGAAAAAGGATTTATGAAAAGGTCAACATTCATTTTGTCTTTTTGAAAATCTTCAAACCGGGTATTGAATGAACCTAGCAAAATAGATATAAGGTTTTTAAATCTGTCATAATTTGGAGTTCTACTGACCTTGTTGGCTAATTCCTGCATTAATGTGAAATGTGTCAATCTCTGTTCTCCAAAATCGTTACAAAAAAGCATAAGTTTATTCACAAAAGAAGATTATTATGACCAACTAGAGAAGGAAAAATACAATTTTTTCCCTGTAATCTTAAATTTAATAGATTTAAATGTCTCATAATATCAGTGAGAAAAGCTAAATCCCAAAGCCAATCTTTATCATTAAGTAACGAGCACTCACTGGGTAGTTCATTGTTTTCTTGCAAATATTTTAAGACGCACTCCTTCAAGTTCCAAAACCTTTCGAGTGCATTTCCTTTGGAGAGCCAGCGCACACTGCAATGGAGAAGTAACTCTCCATCTTGCTCCGTTTCTTCCGCGAACAGTTTTCGAAATTGTCGTCGATTCAATGCCCGAGCTCGTATTTTGTTAATGTAGCGTGTTACAGGGTCAACAACAGATGACATGTTTAGGTCCTTGGCACAAAGAGCTTCTTGGTGAATAATACAATGGTACTTAAAAACTTTTCTTCCCAAATAGTTTTCCAGTAATGTAACAAACCCCTTTAGTTTACCAACCATGCAAGGAGCTCCATCTGTACAACTACAAACACTATCTAATTTTGACCATTCAACTTTGTTGACTTCGATTACGTTTTTAAGCTGTTGAAAAATGTCCTCTGCTGTTGTTGTGACTAGTTGGCGCAAATCCAGAAGCTCTTCGGCATTTTCAAAATTATCATTGGTATAACGGACAAAAATGCTTAACTGCGCATTTTCTGTGTTGTCACAACTTTCATCCAACGCTAAAGAAAAGAATTTGCAGGATTGTAATCCACTTATAATTTGGGAAACAATATCCTGGCCCATATCATCTATACGGCGCATGACTGTATTTCGGGATAATGCAATATTATCGACCATATTTTTGATCTTTACATCTCCCATATTTTTAGCAAATATTGCCAGACTATTTTTAATTATCTCCTCTACATCAGAGTAGGCTTTTTTCTTCCGGGCTAACAGCAGAGAAAGTTCATATGATGTTTTAACCATAGTTTCCATTTCATCACTTCTCTTCTGAAACAGTGCCTGTTGGCTGGCTAGGTTTTTTCTTTTTCAATAAAGTCGGCTCGCAAATGTGAACCAATAGGATATTTGTTGCTGAAGTCCTTATGCAGTTGTTTATAATGTCGTTCCAGGTTAAATTTTTTCGGAACTGCTACAGACAATCCACATATCAAACAAACAGACTTTGAAGTATTACGATTAGTAAATAAAAATTGTTCTTCCCAAGCAGGTTGAAAATCGCGCATTGCAATATCATCTTCGTATTTTCGTTTTGAAGTCGAAGGCTTACTCGTGGACATATCGAACAAATACTTTTAAAATTTTAAAGAAACAATGCGCGATGACAAAATGTGCACATACAACGGGGCAGTTTAAAATAAACTAAGCAAGGGTAACGCAGTCCTATTGCACATTACGACAGCTAGGATCACGTGCACCAATCGCAGCAATATCGCTCGCCAGAGGATGCAATGATGCCGCATCTATCGTAACTTCCGTAAACCTACCAAGTTTCTTCTTATTATTTTTTGTTTTTCAAGTTTTAATTTTTTTGAAAGTTTGATCAGTTTGAAAGTTTGATCAGTTTGAAAGTCCTATCAGTGGCACGCTGCCGATAGCACTCAATCGTGCCACAGAGTGGCACGCGTGCCGCGGTTTGGCCATCCCTGCACTACCTGCAAAGAAACTAGTGAAAATGGATGCATTTTTGGAGAACTTGCTGAGAATAGGCTATGCTAAAAAGCTCTCATTTCTTCTTCTTTGGGTGCAGTCTTTTTAGCGAAGGTTGGCGATGACCTCTGCAAAGTCTTCCCTATTTTGGACTTTCCTTATTAAACTTTGAAAGTCGAATCCTGTCCAATCTTTGATGTTGCGCAGCCAGGTCATTTGTCGTCTACCCGGGCCGCGCCTGCCTTCTATTTTCCTTTCTATATTAATCTGAAGGAAGTTATACTTGTCGTGTCTAACTATGTGTCCAAGATAAGACGTTTTACACTTCTTGACAATTTCTGTGAGTTCACGTTCTCTATTCATACGCCTTAAAACTTTTTCATTTCTAACGCGGTCGGTCCATGAAATTTTCAGAATACGACGAAATACCGACATCTAAAAACTCTCTAAACGCTGTAACGAGCTGACTGTTAACGTCCAAGCTTCCACGCCGTGTAATAGTGCACTATATACATAACACTTTATCATGCTGTATCGTGGGGACAAATCAAGATTACGGGTAGTGAGTAACTGTCGCATCTTTAAGAAGGTGTTTCTTGCTTGTTCTATTCTACATTTAACTCTTGGTGTAAGGTTTCATGTATCCAACAGCCTAGATACTTAAACTTTTTCACTTGTTCAACTAGATTTTTTTTGACTAGTATGTTTATAACTGGTGTGTGTTTTTTTGAAATTACCATTGTATATGGTATTTCTAGTATAAAATATTTATAAAGGAACCTGTGTACTAGTGTAGTGGATCAGTTTGATCACGTCTTAGTGTCTAAGACATTCTTCATCTGTAATGGTCCAGTCAACTCTAAGGGATCCAATCTGCGATTCGCAACACTATATGGTGTGAGTGCTTTTCTGGAATAACCGCAACTGTGATAAATAATGATGAAGTATGTAAGAAGAATAAGTGGAATATAGAAACTCTTCCTAGGAATGAACTTAAAAAGCAATAGTTTAAAAATTTACCTTTCAGTTTTTCATTTGTTTACGGAATATTGAGGTAGATTTATTCTAATTCTTAAACTGTACAAAATTAAATCTCTAGTAATTTTTTAATTGTAAATAGGTGTTGGTGTGATAATAAGTATTTTAAACGAAAGAAAAAGTAGAATATAGAAGCTCATAAATATAATAACAAATATAAACTCATAATCTAAACAAAAATGAAATTGTACGAACGAATGTAGCATCAAAAGCGTGCATCAAAATAAATTAAGAGTATACGATAACTTTATATTTTGACAGGTATAAATGACGTATGGTGGTCAATATCCACGTTCTCTATTGTATATTTACTTTACTTTTTATCGCTATGTCTTGCTTGTTATGTCCTTATATTACTATTCCGTTGAAATATGTTTTTGTTATAGCGGGTGCATCCGGAACCTCCTTGGGCCCTACCAGTACCGCTATCGCACTTCCCACCGCAGCTGGTGCCATAGCAGCAGTCTCACCACCAGTGGAACCGCCGGTCTTCCAATGCCCGAGGAGACCGAACCTTGGACGCGAAGGCCGACCCATCGGTCTCAAAGCGAACCATTTTCAGATTACCATGCCCAGGGGTTTCGTACATCACTATGACGTCAACATTCAGCCGGATAAATGCCCTCGAAAGGTAACAAAATCCTTTTCCAGACATTTATCAATACATTTAGGTTTTAGTATACGTCAGTGATGCGCAACCTATGACACACGTATCAGTGCTGATATGCGAGCTCATTTTTGGTGACATTTTCAAAGATAAAAAATTTTTAATTAAAATATTTTTCATAATAAAGAGATATTTTAAAACGAATTAGTCTAACTAATTTATTTATTTATTTCAACGGTAGAACAATTTACAATAAAATACAACAAATAGTAAAAAGTAAAGATCATCTACAATAACAAAGACACAATTAAACAGTAAAAAATTGTACATTAAAACAGTATCAAATCACAAAAGTTAAAAAATATTACTTATTTGATTAATAAGACTCGTAAGTTGCCTTTTGAAAACATTAATGTTTGGACAGAATGGTTCCAATAGGAGATCATTGCAAGCTGAGCATTCTCGACAAAGGAAAATGACGAGCATAATCAGTCCTATGAAAAGGAATATAAAAGAGTGCAGTGTGTCGAGTTCTATCTATTGTGTTTAAGTATACATTGGCTAATAACAGGTGACAATTAATATCATTGTTTAGAATTTTAAACAAAAATATGCAAAAAACATAAATAAGCTCTCAACCTTGTAACGGAAATATTTTGCCTACCAAAGGGTTCATTAATACAGGGGTTAGAAAATTGAAGGAAGAAACTATTGGGGGTGGAGATAAGGCAAGCAAAATAATCGCTACTTGTGCGAACGGCACTCAGGGTTTGGTAGGAGAGCTGGGGTCGTGGATAAGTAAAAGATAAGGGGGTTGGATTGGGGCAACTACAAAAAATGAAATAAAGGGGTCATTAATCTCTTGGGATAAACAAAATAAAAATAAACAGGAAACACCTCAAGGAATTTAATATAGGGCGCCACTTGAGGTGCCTAATTATACCTATTACAACCACTAGTTGTAACTAGGGAAATAATTATAAAACATCAAAAAAAACATCTTTTTCAAATAAAAATCAAAAAAGGGTTAGTTAAAAAAAATAAATAAAATGTTAGAAAACAAAATTTAACATTTATTTTTGTGTCACCACAAACAGTTACAACATGAAGAAATACAAGAATACAAAAAACTTACGTGTGTCATCCGCTTACAAACTCCAGGAGTTGGAGATACTACATAAAACTTACAAATGTTACCGCATTACAATTTTTAAATGTTACAATTTCTAAATTTTAACGAAAGCAATTATTGTTCTAAAAAAATATCTGTCTTTACTTTGAAATTAAACAAACAATAAACAGTTACCTGGATTCACATATTTCCACTTAAAGAAAAAAAAAACTTGTTACATCTCTGGAGTATCTATCCGGACATCATCAGCGAAGAGCTTTATCCATTGGGGGCTGGAACTAGTACACTTGGAAAAACGGGAACTCTCAAAAAAAACAGGAACTAAACTTGTTCAACTTTTCAACAGGAACTAGACTTTTCAAACATCTTAAAATCTTCAAAAAAAAAACGAAACAGTGGTCACTCTTTCTAAAATGACATTTACATCGAGCGAAAACTCCACCAATTTTGGCAAATTAATGCCGGTCACTTCATTATAGATAAAAATCCACCACTACTGCTACTTATTTCCACAAAAGGAGCCAAAAACAGAAAACCACAAATTCGACGACGAATTCGGATCCATACCTGAGCCTAACGAACTGCTCGGGGACCCAAGCATGAATTAAGATCCATACCTAACACTACGACGACCCAAGTATGAATTAAGATCCATACCTAACACTACGAAGACCCAAGTATGAATTAAGATCCATACCTAACACTACGAAGACCCAAGTATGAATGACGAATTTAAAATTCGTTCATATAACTTGAAAATAAAACAAAAGCTGACATAACAAAACACAACGAAATTAAAACGTAAAAGATTCCACTTCTACAACGTATAAAAATTATAATGCGACTTCGAATAAAACATTAAAAGAAATTGCCGAAAAAGTTAAAATAATAAACAACTCTAAAATGGTTTATTTTAACATCTAGCAATGCAAATACAATTATTGAAAACACTTTTGCGTATTTTAACTTGAAAGATACGAACTAACAAACACGGAAAAAATTCTTCGTTTTATTTTTTAAACATATATAAGGCGATTTCCATATATTTCATATACGAGGAGATTTCAATATACTTCAAAGAATCAATGAAATTGAAAATGCTACAACCTGCGGTTGTTCAGTGTAACAATGTTAAATTGAGACATTATTACAGAATAATCTATGAAATAATTTTCAGTATTTCTTATATTAATATGTGCTTTAGAAGCTAAAGATCTTAGAAACTTCCGCTGAACGCTCTCCAATCCGTCAATGTAGACTTGATGAAATGGGGACCAAACAACAGAGCAGTATTTAAGACCTGAGCGTACCAAAGAGCATTACAATAATTTTAATACAATAGGTGAGAGATCATGACTGTTAATATAAATAAAACCAAGATTACGAAATCCTGTTTCCTTTATTTTAAGAAAATGGCTTCTAAATGTCAATGCACGATCCAATAATACACCCAAATCTCTAATCTCAATAACTGAATCTAAGATAATATCATTAAGAACCTATCTATTAGCTATTAGATTATTTATACGACCAAATGAAATACAAGAACATTTAGTTGGATTTAGGCTTAACTATTTTGTTTTGACCATAAACATAAATATATTATTTACATCATCTTGCAAGAGATCTCTATCCGATTTATCATGTATACAATGAAATAACTTAAGATCACCAGCAAATAGCAGAAAGTGTGAGTTTTTGATAGTCTTACCAATATCGTTAATGAACAAGTTAAAAAGAAGGGACCACAATGAGACCCTGGTGTGACACCATAACAACAATGGAATTCTTTTGAATTATAAGTAATTGTTAATACAAACTTGCTTTTAATTCAATTAACAATGGGGTCACCAAAGCCAGATGCATGAAGTTTGTGGACCAAAAGGTTATGATTAACCTGGTCAAAGGCCTTTGAGAAATCAGTGTAACTGCTGTCGACCTGAATTTTATTCTCAAATGCACCCAATAAGTATTGTTGGTAATTGACAAGGTTTGTTACTGTTGACTTCCCGTTAGAAAATCCATGTTATTCATCAATAATTATGTTTCTGCAAGCCCAGGTGAAATTTATCGATACCAATTTATCAAAATCAATAAAAATTTCCATTTTAGAGATCAATCTTTAAAATCTTAGACATGAAATTTCAATTTTGAGTTGTGGCAACAAAATATGAGGCATTTGAAATATGAAAAAAACGCAGAATTTAATTTGCCAGGCAAAAGAAAGTAATTTTACATCTTCGCTATAACAAAAATATGTTCCAGTTCACTACATACATCCATAGTAACTATTTTAAAGACCTATCAAAAATAAAGTATTACTTCAAGTTCTATTAAAATGGGCATTAGTATATTATTATCTAACATAACATAAATAACATGAACACTTATGAGCATATAACTTGCCGTCATTAGAGTTGTCTCGGGCTTACGTCACAAGAACATGCGCGTTGACTTACCTTGTTTTGTTATAGTATCATGTCTGTGAGTAACTTGTCTTAAGTCAAGTACGTCACACAAAAATGTCGCTTTTGTCATTATTATTGTCAGTGTCAATTAAGTCATGCTAAAGTAAATATACCGTAATGATTCCATCAGACATAGTTATAGATATAAACGACGACGATGATTTAGAAGAGAATTCGTCGCTTGAACTACAAGAATTGAATAAAATCGATACTGAAGAATGCAAAATAACTACAATAATTCCAGTAACCACCGAAGACGAATCGAAACCAAGCACTTCTAATGCCGAACCCAACAGTTCACAAAATCCCTTGCAAGTAGCAGTTAAACTCAACATGGATAGTCGCCTCATTGGCCTTGAAGATTTAGACGAACAATTAACACAGGAACAGATAATGCTCTTTCAAGAATTCATCAGAATACAGTCTCGAACGAAAGTAACTACAAATGAAATAGCTGTAGGTTCCAATGTATTGGATGTACACACTGAAATACCTGATGTTTCCTTGTACCCTCCTCCCCCTTACGCGTCCCATGAGAATTCCAGACAAATATACATGCAACACTCAACTACATACAGCGGTCCTGCTCCCTCTTATTCTGAAATGTACGTGACTTTTACATCGGAACGATTAAGGAATCAATTTGTGAGAAAAGTCTATTCTATTCTAACGGTGCAGTTGTTTATTACGTTTAGTTTTGTTTTACTTACTGTATTTTACGATCCCGTTAAAACCTTTGTTTCGACTACTCCAGTACTGCCTTATCTATCCATGGCCACATTAGTAGCTCTTCTGATATTGCTCAGCTGCTCGGTTCCGATGAGACGGCATTATCCATTAAACGCTATTCTTCTGTTGGTTTTTACCCTAGCGTTTACCTACACGATGAGTTATATTGCTAGCCAGTACTCTGACAAAGCTGTACTGTATGCAACGGGTGGCACAGCTCTCATATGTGCGTCAATTATGATTTTAGCATGGTTAAACTTCTTCGATATCACCACCTGGAAATTCTTTTTGATGGCAGCGTTTTTAATTATTGTTTTAGTGGGTGTAGTAATGACGGTCATCTTTTCGCTGGTAGGGGGTAGTCAAGTTTTTAATATAATTTTTGGTCTTATCATGGTTGTTTTCTTTAGTATATATTTGTTATATGACACACAAAAACTTCTTGGTGGAGGCAGGATCGCCTTGTCCGAAGAGGAGTATATACTAGGAGCTCTATCCCTGTATGTAGATATTATGCTTATTTTTAATTATATAATGTTACTCTGTCTAAGACGATAATATTATGTTTTGATGTAACATGTCTATCATTATTGTACAAGTAAACGCTTAAAAATTAATTTTATAAAAGTAAATCTGCTAATTTCGTTATTTATTTCTTTGCAATTGGCGATATACAAACTTCAATAAGGTGTAGC